CACACACACACACACACTCGCACTCGCACTCGCACACACACACACACACTCGCACTCGCACTCGCACACACACACACACTCACACACTCACACACTCACACACTCATCTCAGATCATCAGATCAATCCTCAGTCATCAGGACAAACAGTGATTGTTAAACCTGCAGAAACCACAGTGAGAAGAAATCTTTTACTTGTGAAATTATATTCAGATTAATGATCACTTCTTACTCTGGTTTCAGAAACTCTCCAGAGCCGAATGTCCTAAAGCATTAGTCATTTATTATAATATAATGTAATTTATGTATTTATAATTTTATTTTGTTGTTTTTTTATTCATTCACAATACATTCATTTATTTATAATTGTGTTAACTTTTTATTTATTCATAAGAGTTTTTTTTAATAATTATTGTTTTTCCAAATTTAATTGTTTTATTTATTTGTTTAAAATTGTTTTATATTTAGTCATTAATTCATTATAATATCACTTATTTACTTACAATTCAAATTACATTTTATATTGATTTGTTTATTTTCGTTTATATATAAAAACTATTAAATAATTATTTTTTATATTTATTCAAAATTTTATTTTATTTATATTTAAATAATTAAATCCAGTTTATTTATTGTATTTGTATTTATTTAAAATAGTTTTACATTTATTTGTTTATTCAATTATTTATCGATTCATTATTTATTTATTTATTATAAAAACTGGACCAAACATTCATTTTTATATTTATTTGTTTATTTTCAATCATTTATAAAACATATTGCTAAATTATTTTTTTATATTTATTCACAATATAGTTTTATAATATATCTTATTTCAAATTAAATCCAGTTTATTTATTTTATTTGTATGTATTTAAAATAGTTTATTTATGTATTTATTGGTTATTTATTAATAATAATAAATATTTGTATTTATTTGTTTAATTTTGTTCAAAAGTGAATTTATTTATTTATTCATTCATTCATTCCTTTATTTATTTATTTTATGACTGATTCGTAATCTATTACCCACACATGCTTACAGCATTAAAAGAACAAGCTGCTAATGAATCGTCATGACTCATGATATGTTGTATGATCTGAGAATATCAGAAAGCTGACCTGCTTGCAGTTAGTTGCATTGATTAGCATCTCTCTGCATTAAACACTGACTCCTGCGTCGTTAGCAGAAGATCTCTGATAATCTGAGCCGGAAGAGCAAGGCGACTGTTAAAGAGCTCTGATGAAAGGCTCTTATATTAATGCATCTCAACTTCTCTGAGAGCCGCACTGAGCTCGATTTGTGTGGTTTTGTTGTGTTGCAGAACTATAGCAAGATGATGTGCTTGATATATGTCTTTTTTTAGTATTTTATTTATTTTACGGGGGATGCACAGTACATTGGTTTGCATATGGATTTTTGCATTGTTTGTCTGATTTAGGGCTGGCTGATATATCAGATATTTATTTTGTATTATCTTGTTAATTTGGCCATTAAGACCACAGGACTAGGTGGGTTTTGTGACGTCAGCTGATGAGCTGAAAGTCTGGTGTTCAGAATCAAGATATTACATTTTGCTGAAAGATTATCTTGTTAATAAGAACAGGAATTAAGAGGGTAAACGGAGTAAATTTAGTACATGTTCGACAGTCTATATGGGTGCACCTCATTTAACAATTCATTTCATAATCACTTTCTTTCTTTCAAAAAATTTTTTTTTTTATTTATGATTTAATGTTTATTTTATATTTATTTTATGATATAATGTATATCAGTTATTTATTCATTTAGATACAATATTGTATTTATAATGTATTTTTTATTTTATTTATATTTTTATTAATTCATTCATTTTGTTATATAATTAAATGTTGTTTGTTTATAATTTAATTTATAAGTCTATTTTAAATATAATTTCATGTCTGTTTTGTGACATTTGTTCATAATATTATACATTTGAGTAATTATTTTTTTTGTGTATTAAAGTAATTTATTTATAATGAATTTTTATTTGTGTATTTTTATTTTTATACATTCATTTATAATAGAGATTATTTATTCATTTAAATTTTTGTTCTAATTTTATTTATTTATTTTAGTTTTCTAAAGACCACATTATAAAATTTTTTATTTATGTATTAAAGTAATTTATTTATAATTTAATTTGTATTAATATTTTATTCATTCATTTGTAGTAGACATTATGTATGTATTTATTTATTTATTTTATTTATTTATTTAAAAAAATGTTTTATAATTTCATTTTTATGTTCTATTTATTTTTTATTCATTTATAGTAGTATTGGTTTATTTGTTTGTTTGTTTATGTTTTCTAAGGACCACAGCAATAGGTCAGTTTTGTTTATCCATATCCATATCCATAAGATTATCCATAAGAACAAGAATTAAAGCAGTAAATATTGTGTATTTAGTTCATGTTTGCGTATCTGCCAGCACCTGTTATGTTTCTGATGTTTGGGTTCAGGATGAATCCGTGTTGTTGTTGTTTCTGTGATCCGCTCTCGGGATCAGGAGCTTCTGAAGAACCCAGTAGAGCTCCTAATAAATGCGTTTAGAGGCGATTACGCCAGGAATGCATGCTGTGGAAATGTTTGGACTGAGAACGAGCCCAGAGCATTCGGAGATCGAGTCCAGCAGTCCATCTAATGAAGCGCTGCCAGATCTACAGAGATCTGCACATTACTGGAAGAATCTGTTCCGCTCTGGCAAAGCAGCACTAGTTTACTTATAGAACACATTTCATACACAATTATGATTTAAAGTAATTTTAAAAGTACATCTATTAACATGATGTATTTATTTATAATTTTATTTTAAATCTATTTTTATTTATTTATTTTTCATTTATAATAGAATTTATGTATTTAATCATGTATTCATTCATTTTCATTCATTCACAGGACCTCGACTGCTTTGGCACATCAACTGTCTGGAGTTGTTGGCAGTGCATCTAGCCTTGCAGCAGTTCCGGCCACTGCTGCTGGACAAGCACGTGTTGGTTCCGAACGGACAACACTGCGGCTGTTTTGTACATCAACCGTCAGGTCCACGATCACGTCACATGTCTCAACTCGCCCGTCATCTCCTCCTCTGGAGTCAGACGCGGCTCAAATCGCTGCGCGCCATCCACATTCCGGGGAGCTCAATCGTGCAGCCGACGCGCTCTCACGACAGCTCACTTTCCCCGGAGAATGGCGACTCCATCCCCAGACGGTTCAGCTGATCTGGAGTCAATTAGGGGAAGTTCATGTGGTCCTGTTTGCTTCCCACGAGTCCTCCTACTGCCAGTTGTACTATTCCCTGACGCAGCCCCCCCCTCCTGGGCACGGACGCACTGGCACACAGTTGGCCTCGGGCTCTACGCAAGTATGCATTTCCCCCAGTGAGCCTGCTCGCACAGACACAGTGCAAGGTCAGGGAGGACGAGGAACAGGTCCTGTTGGTTGCACCTTACTGGCCCACCCAGACCTGGTTTTCGAAACTCATGCTCCTCGTGACAGCCCCTCCCTGGCACATCCCCCTGATGGGGGACCTCCTTTCTCAGGGCTGGGCACCATATGGCACCCGCGTCCAGTTCTCTTGAACTTCCATGTGTGGCTTCTGGACGAGACGCAGCAGACCTAAGTGACCTACCGCCAGCGGTGGTAGACACTATCACTCAGGCTAGAGCTCCCTCTACGAGGCATGCCTATGCTTTGAAGTGGAGTCTGCTCACAAATTGGTGTTCTTCTCACCGAGAAGACCCCCGGAGATGCTCGATTAGAGTCGTGCTTTCTTTCATGCAAGAAAGGTTGGAGCGTAGGCTGTCACCCTCCACCTTGAAAGTGTATGTCGCTGCTATTGCAGCACATCACGATGCAGTGGACGGCCGGTCCCTGGTAAAGCATGACCTGATCGTTAGGTTCCTGAGGGGTGCCAGAAGGTTGAATCCTTCTAGGACACCCCTGATACCCTCCTGGGATCTCTCTATTGTCCTGGCTGGACAGAGGGGTCCCTTTGAGCCACTTGATTCAGTTGAGCTAAAGTTCCTGTCTCTTAAGACAGCGCTCCTGATCGTGTTCACTTCCATCATAAGGGTCGGGGACCTCCAAGCATTTTCGGTAAGTGAAGAGTGCCTGGATATGTGCCCAAGGTTCCCACCATTCCCTTCCGAGATCAGGTGGGGAACCTGCAAGTGCTACCCCCGGAGGAGGCAGATCCAGCCTTGGCATTGCTGTGTCCCGTAAGAGCGTTATGCATATACGTGGACCGCACC